CTGAACTGAGCAGAACCATTTGAAACCGGGGCATCTCCAACTGCCAGATGTTTTGAAGAGAGACATTCTCAGAAATACGTTGTTGTGCTACTGCCACACAAGTCTGCTGCACCAGAAATGCACAGTCCCACCTTACTGAGATTTGAAATTACTCTGATTTTACTCTTCCCACCCACAGTCTGAAAGAACGGAACAGGTTCTGCCGAATCTGACCCACAGTGGAATAAGCTACAACACTGGCTTAACTTTTTGTTAATTTAACATGTGATTAGAAACTCTGGCAAAGCTGAGATCCCACAGCACAACAAATAACACTTCTCACGGGGCCAGGGAAATATCTGTGTTGAATCTGTGTCTGCTCTCCATCTGCCAAAAATTTGTCAAGACGCATTCCTCAAGAATACTTTTATGGTCTTCACTGAATCTCGACATCCACTTGTTCTAGTTTCCATTACAGCTCCAAAGGGGCATCCAGGTTTGAGTAAAGCCACACAATTTTGAGCAGAAATAGCTGCCTTCAGGCACTGTCCAAAGCATCATGAAAAGCCTCTGGCAAGACTTTTCCAGAGATTTAGGCATGAGATAAAGATAAGAAACAATTATCACAGAGAGGTTAATGAAGGAAATGCTCAGGCTACAGCTGAATGCTACTTGACTTTATAATTTCATTGTCCTCCTCTGCTGATCTCTTTTGTACTTTCACCTGCCCACTCCTGCTTGAAACTGAAGAGGTAATCTAGGCCAGGAGACAGTTAATTCTGACATTTAAACCTTGATCAGTGTATCATTACTGGATCCCACAGCTCTGACCCAAGAAGCTGTAGATTAAGCTGTCAAAAAAAGAAACCTTTGAGGCTCAGCATAAATCTTTTTTTTTTTTTTTTTTTTTTGCTTACAGTATTAGCCAACTTAAGGGTGGGGCTCCTATCAGGCTGTTGAAAAAACCTGTTCCCCTACTTACGAATGTCTTTGTTTTCAGAAGCAATCTAATAGGAAAAAATACTCTTTAATTGTGATTAGGGGCTGACTACTGGAATGCCCATGCCTGTTAATTCCAGAGCAGATGTTCAGCAGTGCAATGGTTCATACAATATGCTGACAATAGTAAGTTATTAACATAACATGGTAAGATCTAAAAACTCCTGATCAACTGTTGGAGTGGGTCAGCAAAGATCCGATGTGATACGTGTTAACATCCCAGAACAATTCATCCTCTGCTCGGCCAAACTTCATCTCACTCACTCAGCTGAATGCAATTAGAGCCCAGGCTTGTCCTAATTTCAGCCTCTGCAGAGAAAGGTTATCTTCCTTCAGCCAAGAGATGGTGGCAGTGATGGGCAAGGAGACATTGCAAAGGTGCAGCACCAGCTCACAGATTTAGGCAAGGAGCTGCTAAGACAGGCTGGGATACACATGAAAGTGCAAACATAGCACCTACCTTGAGTTTCAGTCAATGCACCCCAGCAGAAAGCAGCAAGAACCCAGAAGCCACACAGTGCACAAGCTGTTTTTAGATAAACCGTATACAATTTTCCCTCAAGCTCCATGGATCAGAAACATATGCTGCAGCTACAGAACCATTACAGTTTAATCCCACCTCAAACAAGGAGATGGTAAATCTTCAGATCCTACTACCAGCAGGCTACTCAAGGAGCAGAGCACAGTTCTGCTCTTTGCCATGGTTCAGGTGAGACAATCTCATCCAGATCAAGTTAAACTGTATATTGCTTTGGAAAAACAAGTTCATTGGAATTTTTCTGACCTTGATAAAAAGGTTTTTGCTATTGGATGGAGGCAAATAAAAGACTAGATCCAATTCCTGTGAAAAACATGACTTTCAGATATTGTAGAAAGATAATTTTTAAAAAGCTCACTAACTCCTCCATCAAAAAGACCATCACAGTGAAAAAAATGGGAAGGATTTGCCCCAAACCCTTGAGATAGAATAAAAGTTCCTTTCCTACAATGCTTAATGGGGTGCAAGATCCTTTAGGAGAAATTTCTTCCTGAAAGGTGTTGAAAATTTAATATGATATTTTTCTGATAAAGTAGCTTGTGCTCCCCCAATAGAACAGTCCAAAAAGTGGAAGTCATTGTTGTATGAGCAGATGGGAAGCACAACAGGGATCTTCATGGCAGAAACTGCATTGCCCCCACACCTAGCAAATGCCAGATTCCACTAACTCCTTGCTCCAAGACAGATTTTAGGTTAAACCTCTACAGGAGTCCCTTGGAAAGAATGCCCAATTATCAGTTGCAAGACTAAGGGAAGACATTAATGACTTGTTTGTTCCCAGAGTTTCCTTGATCCATGAGGCAATGTTCTCAGTAAGTGAGTAAATCAAGTCTCACGCCAGTTTGTGATTGATGGGGCAGCAGTCAAAGACTGGAACTACGTTTGCACACATCACAGACAATCCTGGTAATCATGATCAACCAGCTGACGTTACTGGTGCCCAGAGGGTCCCAAGGGCTGTGTGACTGCAGAGAGCTCTGAGCAAAACAGGGAAATGCATTGTTCTTGTTGCTATGAATTTAAAGAAGTCTGCTCAGCCATGTAATGGTTTTGGGCTCTTTAATTATTAGCAATACCCAGCACACACCACACAATTTACATGTGCAAGTGCCACATCTCTGCACTTGAGTCACAGCACAGCCTGCCCACTTCACCAGGACCAGAAAAAGAGCCTGCTGCCAAAGGGAGAGGGCTTCAGCTCCCCTTCCGTGGGTGGGTTTGGCTCTGGTCTGGGTCTAGAGTGATAGGCATTCTCAGGCAGAGGACGGTCAGTCTTCACCTTCGTAACCTGGAAAGAAATGCAAAGAAGTGATACAACTTCTCACAGCATTTAATAGCCAGGTTGGGTCAGAACTTCAAGGAAGGACTACCAAGAAGAACCAAATAGTAAGGACAAGTTGTTCAGCTGATGAGAGCTCCTCAATACTTCTAAGGGAAGGGAGGGGTGTTTCATCACAACTACAGAATAGCTCCACGTGTGCATGAGCTTCATTCCTAAAGGAAAAGCCTCTAGCAGGAAAAGCAAAAAGCAAGAATTTCGTTGTCCAAGAAAAGCACAAGTCTTCTGGAAAAGCAACCCTGGAAGATGCTGCCAGTCTTGACTTCTACCATCCCACAAACTTCCAGCGCCGAGTTCACAACACACCATCAAGAGATGCTGGAGACCTGGTCTGGACAAAAAGCGCATAAAGGCAGGCGAGCAGGATGTGCCTGAAAGGGTAAGAAGTTACCTTGGAGAGGTCTCCCAGGTCAGGCCTCACCCAGCCCAGCTTGTCCAGCACGCAGGAGTCGAAGGCCGCCTGCTGCTTGCGGCAGCGGCGCAGCTCCTGCTGGCCGGAGCTGTCGATGCACGTCCAGTAGGTGGTGAAGGGCTCGGCGCAGTGCGTCCGGATGCTCCTGGGGACACCACAGCACAAACCCCTCAGCAACCACCACCCAGCTCTTCTCACTCCAACCTCAGCTCGGGGGTCAAGTGGGTTTTGCAGCTTGAAGTTCTCAGGAGCATCTAAACCTTCACTCAAGTCGGTGTTTGATACAGGTACCTGTGGGATTTCCATCGCTGCAGCTACAATTAATGACAGCAATAGTTTATAACTATGCTCCTGTGCGGAGATTTTTGCTGGGTGGATAGTCACAGCTCCTCCATGGGACATCTTTGTTTTGCTAAATGTCACATTATATGGTGCTCTAATGCGTCCAAATAATTTTGTGTCTAAAGCTCAAAAAGCCATGCTTAGAGCAGAGGTTTCAGCTGCTGCACTGGAGGTGGACATGCCTTGAGGTAATTAAATTAGGGCCTTTAACAACAGTACTGGCACATGCCTTGGAGCTACATGTTTGGTCAGGAGAGGCAGGCGGTGCACCTGCTCAAGCTTTCTCAGAGCTTCACCTGTGAGACAGGGAGAACAGACAATGCAACGCTCAGGTTGGTTGCCTGGAGTTCACCACTCAGCTGCAAGGTGCAGCAGCCTCACACCACTGCCCTGAGCTCCCAATAAAAACCCAGGCCGCTTGCTCTGGAACAAAGGCAAAAGAGCTTCAAGTGACAGGATAAATCAATGTATAAATAAGTAAGACAAAACACATGGGCTCTATTCCCAAGAGTTAAAAGTTTAAGAAGAAAGTATAAAAGTTCTAAGGCGGTGATAGCGGCAGCATTTTTAATTAAAATAATGGGGTTACAGAATAGTTTGGGTTGGCAGGAACCTTAAAATTCATTTCATTCCACCCCCTGCCATGGGCAGGAAACATTTTCCACTATGCCAGGTTGCTCCAAGCCCTATCCAACCTGGCCTTCGACACTTCCAAGGGATGAGGAAGCCACAGCTGTACCAGGGCCTCACCACCTTCCCAGGGCAAGATTCCTTCCTAACACCTAACCTAAACCTGCACTCTGTCAGTGTGAAGCCATCCTCCCTTGTTCTGTCGCCTCATCTACGCTCTCACAAGTCCCCCGGCATCTCTCTTGTAGCGCTGCTGGTACTGAAAGCTGCTCTAAGGTCACGCCGGGGCCTGAAGAGCCGCAGCCCTCCCAGCCCGCGCCCACAGCGGAGGCGCTCGGATGACACCGCCGGGCCCGGCCCGGGGCTGCGGCCGGGCCCCTCACCTGAAGAAGTCGATGGCGCACTGGTTCACCTGCCGGCCCTCCCTCAGGCACCTGCGCGGGTCCTTCTCCTCCCAGCGGCACAGCATGAACTCCTTGTTGGGCCGGTCGCACTGCGAGCCGTAGTGGTGCGCCGCGGCCTTCAGCACGGCCGAGCTCACCGCCACCTGCGGCGGGGCACAGCGGCCGTGAGGGCGGGCGGGCCGGGCGGGGAAGGCCCCGCGGGCCCTCGGGCACTCACCTCCGGCACACGGAGCTCCTCGAGCGGCGGCACCCGCAGCACCCCGGGCATGGCGGCTCTCCTTGAGCGCCCTCCGCGCGCGCCCCGCCCCGCGCACGCGCACGCGCGCGGCCGCGGCGGGGCGGCGCCGTTGCCGCGGTGACCGGGACGCGCCGCGGGGCCGCCATGGAGCCGGCGGCGGAGCGGTACCTGGGGGGCGTCGTGCGCGGCAGGTGGGGGACACCGGGCCGCCGGGAAGGGACACGGGGGGTGCTGGGGGCGGGCGGGAGGATGGGAGGTGCGGGAGATGGGGGGCGCAGCGCGGCTCGCAGGGGACGCGCGGGAGCGGGGCGCCCGAAGGGAGGGCAGGGGAGTCGCGGGCGTTGCGGACGGGACGAGAGGGGGTCGCACGGGGTTGGTGGGACCGGGGGACGCCACCGTTCGCCCCCGGCATCTCTTCCAGGATGGAAGGATTCGGCTACTACACGCTGCCGACGGGCACCGAGTACCGGGGCTCGCTGTGGGACGGGATGTTCCACGGCAAGGGCCAGCTGCTGCGCCGCAAAGGCGGCGGCTACCGGGCGCTCTGGGACCGCGGGGTGCCCACGCAGGTACGGCCGGGGGGTTCACCCCCGGGGGCTCGGCTGGCAGAGGCTGGAGGCGAAACACGCGGATTTCCCAGCCAAGGCAGCGTCCGGCCCCTCGGGGCGGCGGGAGGCTGCTGGCGGCCGGGCACCGCGGGCAGGATTCCCCGCAGAGGGCGAGCGGAGCCGCGCCGGCCCTGCCGCTGCGTTCTGGCCATCCATCACGGTTATTAACTCTGCTCTCAGACGTGTTTTGCAGGGGAAATACACTTTTAGAGATGGTCTCGAATACGAAGAGGAAAAATGGCTTTACTGCGACGGCTACGACAGAAGATTCTATACAGAAATCCGTTCTGGTTTTAAACCACCAGGTACTAAATTGCGTTTGCGATCCTGAGAGTCTGGAAGGAATTAAACTAACAACTTTGCTTAAGAAAGATTAATTCAGCTACATGAGTAACATGGAGCAGAAATGCTCTGGCTAATTTCATACAAGCCTGAGATGCTGCCAGGAGAATGTGGACACCACCTTCCACCAGCACAGCCTGGGGTGCAGCCCTGCACCCACAGCAGCCCTCTGGGAGCAGGGCAGGCTTTTATGATCTGCAGCTTTTGTCATCCTGATTAACCCTCACAGCATCAACAAGGGGCTTTTGATGCAGAGAAGTCAGGCAAAAACAATCAGTTTGCATCCAGGACACCAAATGAAGTTTCAAGCATCTGCCCCATGTAGCTTTTAGTAGATACCCAAACAGACATTTTTGTTCAGTCTATGTTTTTGCTAAAGACTTTTATAATGTTGTTATTTATTGTAGTCAGAAGGTGGGTTTATAGGGAAAAAAAGTGAGTAAAATCTGTAACTTAATACACGCAATACATAGAATATTTTAGTGATGACGTGGAGTTCTGTGAAGCCAGCAATTCTCTCCTGGCCCCATTTTGGATTTTAGGTTTGGACTTATAATGTTAACTTGGTGGGCTGAATCACAGGACTGTGAATGAGGAAATCAAAGTGATAGTTTTTTATCGCACAGCCTTTGTGTGTGCATTTTTCCATTTTCATTTTCCCCATCTGCAAAATTGATGAAATGTTTTACAAAGTTTATTGTGAGGTAACTCTGTTATTTTTATAGCAAACACCATGGAGATGTATGTTAGTTAGCTTGATCAAAGGCATAAATTTAAAAAAAAAATCAAATATTGTTTTTTCCCCTTCAGGCATTGCTCAGCTTACAAATCTGGATCCTCCCAAAATAATCCCAAAAGGTTGTTATGACTTTGCTGATGGATTCTATAACCCCAAAACCAGAGTAATTGTTGACTACAAACGCAGGTTTCTGAAAAATGCAGGTATGGTTTAACTTCTTCTGCAAGGTAAAGTAAGAAGGGTTTATTATATCTTCTAGGATGCCTGATTAAAGCCAAAATATAAATAACTCCATGACTTGGTTCTATTATCACTGAGCTAAAATATCTTTAACTTATTTATTTTATCAGTGATTTATGTATCCCCAGAACTGTACAAATCATATTTTGCAAAATCACAATGAAGTATTCCCAAGCATATATGAATAAATATGTTCTATTACCATTTGGTATGTTAATCTCAGAAAAATCTTCAGTCTCTCTGTTATGATCTCAAGCAAGGGAGTGGTTGTGAGGGGCATATCACTGATCCTGAAAGCTGAAAAGCTCCATGTTGTCAACCAGCGAAGTGCTTAAGCATGTGCTGATCTCTACATTCTGGAATTTATGAAAATGAGTTAAAAAAACCACTCAGTTTATTAAAATGAGTCTGGGTCTTACCTTCCTGAACAGGAAACCTTCACCTTGGAGAGCCGTGTTTGGAGTAGAGTCTGGCAAATACATGGATAGGTCCATAAATTAATAAACCGTGGGGAAAATTAGTTCTTACCAAGCCAAAAGAGAAACTTTTCAACTTAAAAGCCACAGAAAATCCCCAAACAGTTGACACTGGGATAACTAAAAAAAATGTAGTTTGACCTGAAAAAAACCTACTTTGTGTTCTGGCTATTTAATATTTGTGTTTATTGCCTTTTCAGCGCAGAGGGATTTAAAATGAAACTGATTTCTGAAAGCAGCCACCCACCCTGCTTTTTTTTTTTTTTCCCTCAAATGTCCAAATTGGAAAACCTTTTTTTTTTTCCTAGAAAACAGAACATTTAATTTTCAGTGTGCTACAGTTTAACAGTTTTGTTGCTTAGAAACTCAATTTTTCAGCAAATTTACTATTTGTTGTAAAAAAATTCTGCTCTGCTCTACTTTCAAGAGCTTTTGTGAGTGTGTACTGTGATATTGGAGGAGGGAAGTGGGGAGGGGTTAAATGAATTGGAGATACCATCTGCTATAAAATATACCCTGTGATACACGGCCTGTTTTATAAACGTTGAATAAAAACTGATCTAGATTATTACAAATGGCATTGATCCAAAATACTGGAATGCAGTGGGCCTACTGATGAGGAAGATAAGCAACATGCTTTCCAAAAACACAGGAACCTACACAGATTAGTACAGGAGGGAACGCCTTGGAATTCAATTTATTGTTTTTTAATCTGTTCTTTGAACTCATTGTCCTTTATGACATTTATCTCAAACCCTACAAATGATACCAATCAATAGTGGCCCAGCAGCCCGGCGCAGCGTGTGCCTGACAGAGCACTGGAGATGGGCTTTGTGTGGCCCTTCCAGCCAGGGCCTGGACACAAAGTTCAGGCTGTTGATGTGAGTGTGAAGAAGGAATGTGTCATGTAGGCCAGACCCTTCCTCTCAAGAACATGAACACAATTGAAAAACCCGGCACTTGTTCAACATCAGAGGAACTCCTGCCGCCCCAGGAGAGATGATTCAGGACACAAGGCCACTGAAGTAAAAAAAAAAAAAAAATTAAAAAAAAAAAAAAGCCAGCTGTAAGCAGAAGAAACTGAGGAAGAGGCTGAGATGACAGGGAACAGATCCAGAATTACTCCATTATAGGTTGGGCAGGAAAGAGCAGGAAAACCTCCAGGCTTCCAGCCAAGTCTTGAAAGCATCAAAAGCAGATGGTAGGAAGCATTCAGGAAGTTCTTACAACAGCTTGACAGGTTTACCAAAATGACACTATCTTCCTCAGCGCTGGCAGCAGGCTTCAGAATGCTCCAGCCCTCACCTTTCACCCCGGCCCTATTATGAAGCGATTGCTAATTGTTCCTCGGCTGTTTGTGGGAGAGGAGGAGGAATCCCTGAGCCTGGGCACGGCCGCAGCCTGGCAGTGCCCGGGTACGCTCCAGGCGTGCTGGGAACGTGGAGTTTGCTCCCAGCCCTTCTCCGTGCGGATGAGAGGACGTCGAGCCCCACGGAGGCTCCTGAGGAGCCTGGCAGGCGCTGCACTCCTCGAGCCCGGAGCTCTGATCCTCATTTACTCGCAGAGCTCTCGCTGCTAGGGCAGCGCAAAGGCCCGTCCTGAAAACATAATCAGGCCCAGGGAACGAAATGACAGCAACAGATTTGTTATATGTTTTTATCTAGCGAAGTCTTCCAAATTCTCATTACAGCCTCTCAGTTATTACTTCGTCCCTAAACCTCTGTTTCCTTGGGGATGCTCAAATTTCTCTTGATTCTCCATGTGTTCTTCGAGCTTTTCTTTTTTTCCAGAATTGCGAAGTACGCAAAATTGAGCACATAAATAAGAATGGGAAGGCTCATTTGTAAGAAGATACGTTGTTTATTTTTAATAGATACCGGGACCAGGCTCCTGTTTCACCAGGAGTATTCCTCTTTTTTTTTTTTTTTCCCCAGAAATAGGACTCCTGGCACCTTTGTAACAGAGTTTGGTCAATAGAAAGATCGGAAGATTTCCCAGTTTTTCAGTGAAAAGTAGAAACTACAAGACGTTATTTTTAATGCAAAGCAGAAAGGTACAAGAAAAGCTGTGACAGTCAGATTTTAGACCCTCTTGAATATCAGAAAAGCCCATAAATTTCAAAGAGAAAATACAATCAAAGCCAGGAAATTTTTTATACTGAGATAGAAAAGATCTCAGCAGATTGCCTGGCTCACCTGTCTTGATGAAAAGCAAAGATATTTTTGATGAAAATTGCCTTGTTTCTCCTGTGGTTTTCACAGGGATGGGTTAAATAATATAAAACATGCTTTTCCTCATTCTAATATGAGAATATTTATTCTACTATTTTCATGTTTCTTCTTCAGGTTTAATTAGTATGGTGCATAGGGGAGCTTCCTGTGCAGTCAATATTACCTGAAATATATTGGTACCTCTTCCTATAAATCAAGAGCAGAAAGACACAAAATCTGCCTTTTTGCTCAGAGCTCAGTAAGGGAACAGAATTCAGAGCAGGAATAGGCCTAGAAGACCAGGACAAGTGTCTTATTAAGAGGGACTTTGGTGTTGCTGCAGTCCCAAGCCAGCCAGCAATCAGCATTTCTACAAGCCTGAATGTCTCGTGAAAAGCAGCAGGAAAAATCCTGCTGCTTCAGGAATCATTATGAGCTGAAAAGGTCAAGATTCAAGAACATTATTTTCGTTTCCTTTAGAGAAGTCTGGGGTTAGAAACGTCTGAGGTTGTGAGGCTGGCCCAACTCCCCAGGCATGGGGGTAAAGCCATTTTAATTCTAAGCCTTATTAATCACAGACTTACAGTTTCCTCATTTTGTTACATTGGGATGGAGGTTCTCATGCTTGGTCTGGAAGAACTGAGCAGCACAAATATTTTGGACAGTCAGCAACGATGTGTTCAACCATTTCAGGTTTATCCAAGAGCACAAATCCATGAGAGAAATCTCCTACATTTGGACATTTTTTTCCTCACAGCTCAGATCTGACTTGCACCAAGCGCTTTTTGGGAAATGTAGACTTTGACTTGTCTGAAAAATGCAGTTGAGAAACAGCCATAACCACTCAATAATCGCTCAGGGTAATATTTCTATACCTACCCTCATGTACCCCAAATACATGCAGATGTTTGCGTGCTCTTTCTCAGAAACTACTGGAGAATTGGGTGTGGGATGAGGACCTGGCAATTTTTCAGGCCTGGAGTATTTCTGGAAAAAAGACAGCAAATTTAACTTTGAGTCAACTGCAGCGCAGGAAAAAAGATTGACTGCACTGAGGGATCATGCACGGAGCTTTATTCCCTGTTCTTCTCTGAAATTGCCCGTTCTGATGATGGAGGGAGTGGATGAACAGCCTGATTCCAGGCTAGTCCCCATGTGATTGCCTAAGAATGTATGAGTTGTTTTGGCAGATGCCCTGAGCAAGGAGAGGAAAGCCCCAGCAATACACATACAGAGGGGAATATAGTATTTTTGTTCGAATTAATTTAGCTTCCCATAGATTTAAATGTCTACTTATAAGGCAGGACCATTTAATCTTTTGTACATTCGTTTCTTTTTTATTTGACTTAAGATACTGAATTTAGATGAGGTTTAGTTCCTACATATTGAAACTCTTAAAAGCTCTTCAAATAATTGTTCTTTGGATACTTGTTAGGCTAAAGAAATCAGTTTTGATCGGCAGTAAAAGTTCATGCTATTTTAAGTGCAATGCTATAGCTATTTTCTGTTGTATATTTAATCATTTTGAATTATATGTCATGTAAAAGATTTTAGCTCTGGGGCATTTGCCAGATGGCTGATTCTGCATTTCACACAACAAAAGAAATAATGTTTGTGTAAAGCTCTTAAAAATAGTTGGTAATCAGTATATTCTACAACGAATAGGATCCAGACCTGTTTGGAAAAAAACCCCAGCTTTTGCAGAAATTAATTTAGAGGATTTGGTCTCTACCTCTGGGCTCTGAACAAAACAAATTGTGTCTATTGTTTGCTGATTTTGTAACATTTAACAAGTTAACTGGATTGTAAATTTTACTCATTTTTATGTTAAATGCCGTTTATTGCAATCCATTGATCTTTTTCTCTTTACTTTGGCTGACAAACTTATTTCTGAAAGCAGGGTTGTAAAGCAGAGAGCCAATGCTGCTCTCTGCTTACACAAGTAGAGCATTCGAATGCGAGTAGCCCTTTGCTTTTCTTGCAACAGCTGCAGTGCTTGTCCTTTTTACTGCTAGTTCCTCCTCCTGGCCTCTTTGATTCATATTCCTTCAAAATACCACTGCAAAAAATATTTTCTCTCTCTGCCATGGCACTCTGCTTCTTCTCTTTGCCAACAAGGCTCTGCAGAGCTAACTACAAATTCACCTTTCTGGTCTTGTCTCCTCCATCTCCCACATACTTTTTCCCTTGGATCTAGTTCCAGGACATAGGGTTTTGGCCACATTCATACAATTCCACTTTTCTGGTACTTGCTTTCCAGACTCTCTGGTAGTCAAA